ACTTCCAGCGAAACACTTCCGGAGTGCAAATGGTTGATGCCCGTCATTGAAGAGGAACTCGGTTACTGCAACAAGGAAAACGATCGTTTCTAGAAATCTGTTCCTCGCGAATCCTGCAACTTCCCCAGCGACGTTTCAAACTGAACCCCTCGAGGACGAACGTCGGCATTTCCGAGACATCAGACATTCGTATCCGACGCACAAAGATTCGCAGCACGCAGTTCGATCGGTCGAGCACCGAGAGACAAAGATCTCCGGCCGAGATCTCGAGCGTTTAAGAGAAGTCCTCGCCCGCGGACGGCGAAATAAGGGAAATCTACGTTTCTCGGGTGCCCGTTCCGCCGAGAAGATGGTTATCCGATGATCAAAGCGTAAATAAATTATACCGGAAGCATCGAGCACGATTACCCTCTTCGAATTTTATCGGGAATACCGGGAAAAGGCAGCCGCCGTCGGAATTTCGATGTGTATTTCATTTAGATCGGGCGGACGAGGACGGGACGGAGTTCGGAACGAAAGACGGCGGCCCGTAGCCACGGAAGAACGTTTGATCGCGACGCAAGGGAGGGAAGGACACACGAGGGGAGGCCAGGCATGCCCGAGAAAGCATGAAATTGCGCTCAGGTCGCGGCATATTAGATTATTAGGACTCCGCGCGCGCATATCCGGACGTCGCCCCGCTGTATTCCCCACGAGAGAGGACCCTGGGAAATTTTGCGATAAATCAAACGCGGGTCAGCCCGGCCGCAACTACGTCCGCCGGGGAAACAAGACGCTGCTCCGTAGCGTCGCGCAGTACGGCCGTCTGTGCACGGAACCCAAAAATTCGACCGCTCGCGTAACGAAAATTGAAAGCCACCAACGTGTTGCTAAGTTGATGTTTAATTCAGAAATTAATGAACACGATCAGCACGCTGAAAGATTGCTCTATAGACATCTCAGATTGACCACGTATTTATATTTTTAACTTGTATCTATTGTTAAATAGTGGATTGCTGAGATCGTTGCGATTAGAACGAGTCCAAACACGATGGGAATCGGACTAGTTTCGCGATTTAACGTAATTCGCGGAATTAAAGGCTCGTTTCCATCGAATCGACGAAACACTCCGATTCTCGTCGTGTTTGGACTCATTTTAGTCGCGACGATCTCGACAATCCGCTCGACTAGGTTTCAGAAAGTTACATCGAAGTTAATGAAATTGATATTTCCTTTGTCGCGTGTTTGTATTTGCATCGATTCGAAGTCCCGTGTCTTGACCCTAGATACTCAGAGCACCGTGTCTGCCTCTCTTTTTCTCGTTCCACTCGTTCTCCGACTTTGTCAAACTGTGCTCCGTGTCCTCGCTGCGGAACGAAACAATGGAACGACCAGTGCGTTTAACGTGGCTCTCGTCGATCGGCTTAATGCACTCCCGCATCGGCCCGCGCGTGTGCACTCTTGCATCGGCTCGCGTATTCTCGATCGGTTCCCGATGCGTCGGGCCGATCTCCGAAAGATTCGATTTCCCGGCGGCTTTGATCGCGGACGGGTGAAATCGGATTTAAGGACTACTTATCCCGCAGGAATCCTCCCGCCAGCAGCGCCGGCTAGGGGATAAGACGTCGGACGATTATTACGGGCGTATTATGCCCGGGACTTGTCGTGCGCTCTTGTCCGTAGATTTGTAAGAACGTAATCCCTCGCGCTCGACGATTTTATTGTAAGGATCCGCCGGATTTTTGTCGGTACTTCCGGTAATTTCAATCGGGACGCGATGTTGCTCGAGGAGCCTGCGCTGCTGGGGACACGTAGGTTTTCCCGATAAATCTTCCGGATTTGAGAATCCCCACGGTCCACTTGGCACAAGTTGCTCTATAGATCCTCCGAAATCAATCCTTAATGGCTCAGGAATGTTTCTAGATATTGTTCAACGGCTACAGCGATTGAAGACAGGAATTCTGAAAGACGCGCCCTGTTTTTGCCAGACGATTCGCTTAGCTGTCTTTATCGTACTCTGGTTCTAATATGTAATGAAAGTATATGTATAATTAATGTTATAAATAATCAAGATTAATATTAAATTAGCCAAAACATACAGGAATTGATTCGCTTAGGATAATAGTTGGACTCGTGCTGTTGGGACTCACGGCTTCAATTGGAATTGACGTGGGTTAGCTTGAAAATTATTCACTTATCTTGATACAAGTTGCTCCATAGATTCTTCGAAATGCAAGGAATTAAATAGATAATAAAATAATTGTCAGATGCAAGGTATTTTAAGTTATTTTTCAACGGTTACAACTATTGGAATAGAAACTGGTTTCATCTGAAACTAGCTTGCGTTGGTCGATTTTCGAGATTCTTCCTCCGTGTACCGCGATTATTAAGGAAGTCAACGCTTGGGAGTGTCTAGAATCCCACTGAATCCGAGATTAGTTGAAAAGCAGCGGTTCAGAATGTTAGAACAACAGTTCAGCGTGTGAAAACGCGGGCAGATCAACGGAGACGCGCGCGGTCTGAAGTGCGGAGCGCACCGAAACGCGAGCCCGCCACTTCACGCGAAGTTCGGAAGGGCGAAACTTCGCCGGGATCATTGGCGAAGGGTCGCGACTCCGTGTAATTAAAGCCGATATAGGGTGACACGGTAGTTAAAGTAGTAACCGGCTTACTTACCTGTGTTCCCTACTTTCCACTCGGTGGCCGCGACGCTCCCGGCGGGACCGCGTCTGCAACTATCGCGGAAAACTCGAGATCCAATTTGATTATGCCCACTGCCTTCCCTCTGTTTCTTTTCCCCGCGGTCACCGATGACGGCAAGTTTCATTACGCTCACGGAATTCGCGAGCAACGTCTGGTTTACCAATGGCAAGACACTTGTAAGACCTGTGGCAATTTTTCGCATCGATCTGAACGTTCGTTTTTACATTGATACGTCTAATGTTCGATGCATCTGTGAATTGTAAGACTGTTAACGAGTAATCCTAGCTACCAAGTTTCTATTTTGTTAACAACATTGTTTCAACTGTGTAGAATTTTCTTTAAATAGTTCAGTCATCTGTTTGCTACCTTCGCTTGGAGGCAGAGGGCTTCGAAGAGTTAAAGGAAGAATAATCTTAGTAAAACACAACTCCAGTGATTTATAGATAATTGCTTAACCATAATATTATTATGTTTCTATGTTTGTATGTTTATGATAATTGTTTCATCCAGGTAATAACATGTACGTCTTAATTCCCTACCTTCAAACTTCTTTCAAACGAAGATCAAGTCTTCTAATACCACTGGAATAAACTATAATAAACGCCAGTGCTATAAACACCACGAAATTCAGGAAAACTTGGCTATAAACCAACCCAAACGCCACGTTTTATCTCATTTCTCCTTAATAAACTCCGGAAGATCACTCTCAATAAATTAAAATCATCCCAACATCTCCAACTCAACCGTTACCCCGCGAGAATCACATTCCCTTCAATTCCCCTACGAAACTTCCCAAAAAACCAGAATACTATCAATCCCAAAAATCCAACAATACGCTAGCACAGCATCTGAAAAAAGTGTCAATACCGAAGAGATAAAAATGGCAGCAAGCAAAGGCAAGTCCGATGAAGCGAATTCCCGAGCTTCGCTGGCCGGAGGATTTCCCGCGGTGAATCAGCTCCCCGGGCATCGCGTCGGTTAATAACGGAGGTCCGATCTATAGTGGCCGCAATTAATCAGTATCCTTCGTAGCCGGGTACTCCTCTGTCCCGCCGCGCGCGCCGTCTCGTCGAGAGAAGCGTGACAGACGTCGAGCCACCGCGCCACCTGCGCCAGCGAGTCACCGAGGCGGGCCAGAGGAAGCAGGGGGCAAAGAGCGGAGAGAGACGCGACCCCTTTCTCGTTTCCTTGAACCCGGGTATATCAGTCACATCGCTAATTGGAAATCGCTCGTGCGATCTACGGTGTCTCGAGGCGCGCACTGGCAATTAGGTGTGCGCCTACGAGACAGACGCAGAGAGAAAAAGGGAGACAGAGTGAGCGAGAGAGAGAGGGAGGATCGCGACTCCTCTCTGCATCCGTGATATATCCGACCCTTCCCTTTTTCCTTTTCTTTTCACTTTCGGAGACCATATCTCCCGCCGTCTTCATTTTCGCTGGTCCCAGGCGCGCGCCTTGCACGGTTTAGTTTTCCATTTCACGGATACTTGGGCCGCCCGCCTCGTCCGGTGTCCCGCGAGACTGGTCGCCGGGGTTCACGGTTTAGCTACCGGAAATGGATTAACGTTGAGCGTCCTGTCAGTTGCTGGTGACCGACGCTTCCGGATGATTGGAAAACAATCGGCATGCGAGATAACCGGTGTGGAATGGAAATGTTTAGTGACTTAGTTGATAACAATGTAAGGCAAACATCGTAACGAATGATTAATAATTGTTCCTGATTTTCTTTGCAAAAGGAAAACTCTAGAGATTTTCATGGAGCTTAACGTGTTGATAAGTTGATAATACGCGAGGATTGTAACGCCTAATTATTCCTGCGTTTCTTTGATACGAAGGAATAACTACGAAAAACGAAGATATCCGTAGGATAATGAGATGGACGGCAGAAGTCGTTCCCGAGACTGCTCCTTTTCTCGCCGGTGAATCGGTCAAGTTAATTCCTCGTTATTTCGCTACCTCTGGCGACGATTAACGAGGACTATCTCTCCGCGTGAAAACTGCCTCGGGCCCCGGTGATTAGTTGCAGGGTACTCCGTCTGCGAGTCGATAGATTAATTTCGAATCGTGTAGCACTGTTCTCTGTATTAACATCGTTAAGAATCAAGTTACCGATCTGGGTAAGTACCGAGAGAAGCTGGTACGACGTCATAGGACGCTTTGCTTTCTTCGTTATGATCAGATCGGTGCGTAATCGCCTCAATGAATCGTGTAATTACCGAATTTAACCGATTAGACGACACTTCGATCGTTTGGAACGTCGATTCCAGATGTCGAAGTTTCAAGGAACCGCCGCTGACGAGACTGATTTTCGTTTTCAGGATGGTCCGCATGATCGGCGACGAATTCCTGACGGAGGAAAGGGACCGGAAGTACTACGCCGATCACTACACTTGTTGCCCGCCGCCTCTCTTCATCATCCTTATCACCCTCGTGGAGGTCAGTGAGTAAAAAAGAACACACAGTGTCCTCTACGGCGACGGCCACCGAACGCCCTATATAATTCGTGATCCGCCGGCTTTGATCCGGACCCGGTAGCCTCGGCGCCGATAAATTTTTCATGGAAATACGCGCGGCCGCAAGACGTGTCGCAGGAATACGCGGGAAATGGGGGCAACCGTGGCCGCCGTGGTATTTATTAAAAATGCCTTTGACATGCGCGGCCCTTTTTCCCGCAGCGGTTCGAATACCGCCGGATGCCGATTTCGGCCATCTTGCTTAGGCTCCGGTCACACCGAGCGCGAGAGAAACGAGGTTTCTACTGGTTGAAACTCTTGCGTTAGCTCGCATTTAGCTAGCAGTAGTGGCGTTTCGTCGTTTCGCGATGTTTGAGCCGTTTTGAAAATGGTGTACGATTTTTGGAGAAATATGACTTAGTGGTGGTTTCAGTGGTCGATCTGTAGCTCGATCGGTAGCTCGATCGGTTGTTTTAATAATTTTATGAATCGTTGCATAGTACAATAAGTTGCATAGTAACGAATTGATAGCGACCGCGTTGAACGTTCGAAGTAGTTTCGTCGGATTCTCGCGAGATTCTAACGAATTTTGCGAGAGGAAGTAGGAAAATTGGCGGAGGAAACTACTCGGAGGGTATTTTAGGTATCTCTTTTCGGAAACCTATTATTCTCCGCTCCATGTTGTATAAATAATTTTACAATAGAGCTGCAGTCCGCAGCGATGCTTAACTGTTTATAAGGTGCGCCGAATGTTTTCCGTTCCGCGCGCGTTCCGCTGCATTTCCGATGCAATATAAACAGAAATCTTATTTTCCGTATCGTCCGGTTTATTTCTGTGAATACCCGTTGTGTACCGACGCGAGAAACGTTTCCCGATTACGGATCGGAGTACCGACGATCCTGCAGCGCACGATGTCTGTTATTTCAAAGCGCATATAAAACTGCATCTCCCCGATAGTGCACGATTCCCCGCATTATTTTATCATCCGCACGGTCGAACGCTCTCCTCGTAACGAAAGTAACGCTCGAGAATGCCCGCGTGAAATCTTAACAGTTCGCGCGCGAATTCCGGCCTCCCCCCGTAAGGTCGCGCGACAGTTATTACCGCTCGTTCGTAAGACACCGGTGTGGTGGCAGCTTAATATCGACGCCGTCCACCGGCTGAAAGTATATCCGAGCGCCTTTTTGTTTTCCCCCCTTTGTGTCGCGCGCGCATTTAACCGCGTTATTAAATTTCCGAGTGTGAATTTGTTTTCACTCGCGCGCTGGAATCCGTTGTATAAAGCGCGCCCGTTAATTCTCGTTTACATTGTGCGCCGGCCGGCACCCGGAGTCCGCAAACGGGCGACTTTATGGGGAAAAGTGTAAAATACCGCGAAAGTTTGCGTAAAATTGGAGTAACACGCATTACGGTAAAGCATGGTATCCGACTTCATCTTAAATTATCCCGGCGACTCGGCTGCACGCGGAAATTCTCGCGTCTCGCCGATAATTCAATCGTTCAACTGTTTCGCGAGTGAACGAACGTTCGTTTGATTTTATTGCTGGAACGTCATTACTACGGGAAATTCATCTTTCCGTGGCTCTCTGTCAGCTACTGACTGTCTCTGCCTCTTTCGGGACTCCATTGTCCCCTTGTTTCTCGATCTTCCTCGAGTTCCTACTTAGAGTAGCATTATCATCAATGCTAAAACATATTCAACAGATAATCTACTTCCAATTAACAGAATTTAACTACTCTTACAAAAGTCAACACATTACCAGACTCTCCTGCCTCGATACAAACTTCGTTACAATGTTTCTACTAAAATTGTTCATTTTTGAAGCACATATCAACCTAAAAATATTCAAGAAGCGTCCATTCTACGCGATCGCGCGAGATGTTCGACGACAAATTACATGGAAGACGATAGCAGAATAGCCAGCCGAATTGCTGATCGAAGATTCAGAATTGAACGGTTTCTTCGATTGATTCTCCATAGAAACTCCGATGTTTCCAAGGCTGTCGGTTCAACAGACCGACTCTGCTGGAAAAAACTCGAGCGTCGGCGGGTAACCGGGTCTAGGCGCAGTCTTAATACGCAGCGCGCGTCGTCAAAGAGGTTAACGATGGCGGCGCCCATGGTGGCCACAATGTACCGCTTGTCAACCGACTTTCCTCATTATTTTCCCGACTTTCGCGAAAGCCGGCGGGCTAATGTAATTATCCTTTGCGGCGCGAGTAGCCTGTTCGCTGGAAAATGCGCGCGTGCCCCTTTGACGTCGGCCGGCCCGGCGTCAGCCGTGATTAATCAATCTTTTCAACGGGTTTCATTCGACCGTGAGGGATTCCGTCGCTCTCGAACTTTATCCCGGTCCACGGTGACACGCGCGAAGAAATTCCCGTGCTTCCCGGCGAGGGATTCCGATTTGTCGAGCCGGACGGGATTCGATTCGGATACGCGACGCGGGACCTTCCCGTGGAATCTGTAACAGTCGCGAATAAACGGCGCTTTCGGGCGCGAGGAAATATGGCCGTCGGCGAACCGAACGGGAACAAATGTCGCGTGTTTACGGGTCGATCGCAGTCGAAACGTGACTAATTATCGCGTCGCGGGTTTTCGAATGCCGTGGAATTTAACCTCTTAGGCACGGCTGAATTTTGCGCGAGGCTGTTTCTCTGTACGACAGAGTTCTGTACGGACAATGCTGTTCTCTACGCGAGTACATTGGAATGAAGTTTTTGATGATTAAATTATAATTTTTCTGAAAGATATGATACACGTAATTCAACAATTTACTTTAATAATTAGTAATAGAATTGGGTATGATCTATGATATATTGGTAGCGACGGAGCCACTACAGTGGCGCGTCGTGCTTAAGAGGTTAAGAGCGGTTCTGTTCGGTTGTTCTTCGTTCTTTTAGATTTACGGTTTTCTAGCTGTTTTCCTGGTTATCCGCTTGTTCGCTTATCCGTCTGTCTATTTATCGATCTATCCGTTCAGCGTTTTATTTGTCCGTGCGGTTATCTATTGATCTATTCACTCATTTATCTATATATCCATCCGTGGCAAAGGAAAAATCGAAGTCCCGGTCGGGATCCTTCGCCTGATCCTCCCTGCAGAGCAACTTTATCCCGGCCGTTGTAAGAGCTTCCGGGCTGACGGAATTTCTTAAACACGCGACGAAACATGGCGGGGCCCAGGTGCGGGCTGTGTACGCAACAACGCTTTCCGATCGAGCCAGCTCGTTAATTAAATACATCCCGCGGTGTAGACTGTAATCCCGGAAGCGACACGTGCGGCCGCCGATCCAGACGAGCGCCCTAACGCGTTGTAATTGAAATATCACGAACAACTCGCCGGATTCCGGGACGGATTTTACAGGTGTTTCGCGCATTGTAAGGGAAACACTTAATTCCGACGCGGAATTGCCGAGCGTACCAATGGAATATGCATTCCGCGTCGTTCTCCGAATCGCGCTCAAATCGCGCGTGTTCCCGGGATTAAATCGTTTAATCCCGTCATTCTCATATTAGAATTAGCAGATTGAAAGTACTTTTCGTTTCGCGTGATTTCCGAATAAATAACAGCACCAAGAAGTCATTTGCAACTCGAACGATTTCGGAGAAGATTTTTGACGGTCCACGCTACCGCGTTCCCCTGACATGTTACAAATCCGTGAATTTAATTGCGCGCAAACAGGCGTCGCACACGCGACACGGAAAATCGCAAATATTTAAACCGGCTAAACAAACCGGCACCGACGCGGAACACCGATGTATATCCGTCGAATGGAAAGTCTCCCTTTAATCTGTTTGTTCCGAGGGGAACGGCTGGAAAAATTCGAACGTGCCCTTCAACTTGAACATTAGGAAGTCAAAGTTCATTCTTTCGTATAAGTTCATATTACTACTTTCATTTCGCTACATTTTCAAATCGACAGCTAATTATGAATAGAATCGACAATGACAGCCATCTCTGCGAAAACTGATCAAAAAGAGAAAGGTATCTGCAGAACGATATTATCGAAACAAATAATAGTTCTCGTTGCTGTTAGTTTAAATAAAAGCATAATATATTTGAGACATTACATAAAAGTGTGTCGATTTGATGTTACAAATAATTTATAATACGGTCGAGACGTTACATAAAAACGAACGCGTCGGTTTTATCCCGGAGCAACAAATCAAAGTGCAGTTTATGCATTCACGGGAACAATCGAATTAAACGTTGCCGATGGGAAGCAATTTTTCCGAGTTCCAAAGGGTTCAAATACCCTGATGGATTCGGTCCGCAGCCCGTACGTTACCGTTAACGACAGCACCGTCACCGTTACAGGAGACTTATTAACGCGATAACGAGCCGCCACCATCGGCCGTAATCATTTCGCCCCGGGGTATCATCGAACGCGCGTGAATAATTAATTCTTATTACCGTGCGCGCAACAAATGGCAAGGAACCGTTCCGCGCTGCCTTTCCTTTCTAACGAGGAAATAATAACAAGCCCCTGTTTCCCAACGCGGCCGTTCGATACGCCATTATCGTGTATTAATTCCATTTCGAGATGTGTACGAACGCGACCGCTCGAAAAACCAGGAGCCCGTGAAATTCGGGAACAGGAACGGCTAAGAATATTCATGGTAATTAACTCTAGAGTCGCGGACATTTACAGTATAGTTTGCTCTATCGATTTTCTAGAAAGACTGAAGTCGTTCGTTTAGATTTCGGAAATTAGAGATTTCAAAGTAGAGGGCACGTATCTTCAGGATTGATCTAGAAATTTGAGTGATGGAATTTTTGGGCAATCAAGACTATGAACGATTGATTTGTTGAATAATCGATATTTTGAACGATTGAATTGAATAATCGATATTTTGAACGATTGAACTGTTGAATAATCAAGACTCTGAACGATTGAATTGTCAGATAATCAAGACTCCGACCGATCGAATCGTCAGACAATCAAAACACCGATCGATCTAAATCACGCAAAACAATATA